TGCCAAACCAAACCTCGGTTTTCTGCAAGAGCATCCAGTGCTCTTAACCACTAAGCCATTTCTCCAGCCCCTGTACCTTGTATTTTGAGTCTCTCACTGAACCTGGACCTCACTGATTTGGATAGATGGGCTGGCCAGTGAGTTCCAGGGATCCTCTTCTCCCAGTGCTAAGGTTCCTGACTGGTACCAAGTGTTTTTCATTAATTAATGAATTAATGAATTTATTTACTTATTTATTTGGTCTTTTTGAGACAGGGTCTCCCTGTAGCCCCAACTGGCCTGGAACTCACTATGTAGACCAGACTAGCCTTGAACTCGCAGAGATCCGCCTGCCTCGGCCTCCTGAGTGCTGGGACTAAAGGCGTGCGCCACCACGTCCGGCACCAAGTGTTTTATATGGGTGTTGGGAATATGATTTCAGGTCTTCAGGCTTGTGTGGCAATCACTTTACTGACTGAGCCATCTCCCTAGCCTCCTAAGAGACCACCACGTCTGGCACCAAGTGTTTTATATGGGTGTTGGGAATATGATTTCAGGTCTTCAGTCTTGTGTGGCAATCACTTTACTGACTGAGCCATCTCCCTAGCCTCCTAAGAGTCCTTCTTCCTTATGTCTAAGTTCAAATGCATTCCTCTTCTTCAGATAGGCCTTCTCTGACCACTTCAGTTAAAACGGCTCCCTGGCCCTTCCACATGCATGCTTCATTGTAGAATTCTCTCCACAGGACATCATTTGTTGTGTTTGTGTGCACAAACACTGTCCTTTACACCCTGCAGAATGCTGTGCCCTGTGAGCAGGGCCACCTTTCTCATCCACTTCTGCATACAGCAGGCACTTGGTACATGCTTGTAAGGGTGACTGATGAATGGCTTATGTCCTTGTGTTGTTCCAGGGCTGTGATAGAGGAGGAGCAGCTATGTTGCTTCAGTGCTCGGCACCATCGTGCAGAAGTTGGCTTATGAGGTTACAAGTACCTTGCCACAGAAAGCAGTCAGAGACTGAAGGAATGCTGCTAGCAGCCCACACCTGGGGGTACCATCTGGTGCCATGCTGTGGAGTACAAGAAGCCTCAAACGTGGTTCCATTGGCCTTCCCTTTTTTTCTTCCTTCCTTCCTTCCTTCCTTCCTTCCTTCCTTCC